AATTTATACATATATGGGAGAGCGGCACTAGGGTTTGAACTGAGGGACTCACACTGGCTAGGCAGGTACTCCTACTGCTTAAGCCACTCTGCAGGCTGATTTAGATTTTTAGATGAGATACTGGACTTGGGCTTTTGGGTTGATGCTGGAATAAGTTAAGATTTGGAAGGTTACTGGAATGGATATGAATGAATATATTTTGCATGAAAGGACATGAATTTGAAGGGCCAGGGGCAGAATACATAACTTCTCCTGCTTTAATACACTGAGTCTTGATGTTTACTTAGTCCTGTAAAGTTATAAGAGGATGATACATTAAAAATCATGGATAAAACTAATTTCCAGAATTTCTATCACCAAACTGAAGTACTGTATAATCACAATCCCTGCCACAGGTATGTGAACCATTAATCAAGACATCAGCTCAATTAGTTTCCCTGTAAGTCTATCATTAAAGATGCCTGTTGAGTCTAAAATAGGACTCTAGCAAGGCCAGGTGATACATACCTATAATCTAGCACTGATGTAAAGAGGACTATAAAAAGGAAAAAATTTTGATGTTTTCAGCTTGCAGTTTGGCCAGGTTGTTATGCTTGTTATTCAAACTCACATGTTATCCCATTTGTCTCTTCCTAGATGCTGGAGAAGCCTCTTTCTCTCTCTGACCACTGACTAATAAAACTGTCAACCAAGACCTACAGCTTTGGACATGTGGCATCAGTAAACTGGGAGAACAAAGGCTAGCACCTGTTATGGGACAAGAGTTTTGTCACATACTCAAAATGAGCCCCTGAACTCCCCACTGAAAAAGAAGGTATTTTTTTCCAGAAGTGGAACAACAGAGCTTTGAGAGGTTGACTCTCCCTGTCCTCCTCTTCATCTGATGAGTAATAAACCTTATTTCCTTTCCCTGCTCTATTTCTGATTTAGCACTGAGGTCAGGTGATGGGCTTTCCAGTAACACTTTGGAGGCTGAGGCAAAAGTGTAACAAGTTTGAGGCCAGTCTAGGCTACAAAGTGAGACCCCATCTCAAAAATAAAAATAAGGGCTAGAGGCATGGCTCAAGTAGAATAGAGGGCCTGCCTCAAAAGTTCAAAGTGCCAAGTTCAAAATCCTATACTGCCAAAAAAAATAAAATTAAAATTAAAAAAAGGGCAGTACAGCACCTGCTTTATAAGTACAAAGCCCTGAGTTCAAACCCAAATCACACCAAAAAAATAATTAGGGGCCCCAGCAATTTTAATAGTTCTAAATAGGTAAACATGTACTATTTATGATTTGAATACAAAATGTCTCTCACAGGATGTTTTATATCTCTTTTTTTTTGGCCGAACTGGGGCTTGAACTTAGAGCCACATGCTTGCTAGACAGGCACTCTACCACTTGAGTTACTCTACCAGCCCAGGATCATGTTTTGAACTGGGAATTGGGGCCTAGCTGGACAAGGTCACTTGGGTGTACCTTTGAAGATATTACTGTCCAACACAAGTTGAAGAATTTCCTCCACCATATATTCCTACTGTTGTGATGTTTTATCCAAGTGGATAGGGCAAGCAACTATGGTCCAAACCCTGAACCAAAATAAACCCTTCCTCCCTTAATTTCTTTCTGTCAAGTAACTAACACATTAGGTTTATTTACTTACATGCAGAAAATGACTTTGTTTTGTCCTTGCAATTAACACTTAAGACTGGACATAACACTTTTTCAAAATAATTTTTTTTAAAAACCACGAAGAGGGCTGGAGGTATAGCTCAAGCAGTAAAGTGCCTGCTTTGCCAACTTGAAGCTCAGAGCTCAAACCCCAGTACCACCCAAAAAAAAAAAAAAGAAATTTCATTCAACTGTTTTGACTGTGGTTTTGCTGGTGATACTATGTTGCCATTTTTTTACTTTCTGGCAGATTTTTAGATTAATTTTTTTTTTAGTTTTCTTCCACTGATAATTGCATTTTTTTTTTTTTCTAAGAATGTTCTTAGCCAGGCTCCAGTGGCTCACACCTGTAATCCTAGCCCAGCTACTCAGGAGGCAGAGATCAGAAGGATCGTGGTTCAAAGCCAACCTGGGCAATTAGTTCACAAGAACCTAAATAGAAAAACCCTCCACAAAAATAGGGCTGGTGGAGTGGCTCAAGGTGAAGGCCCTGAGTTTAAGCCCCAGTATCACCAAAAAAAGAATGTTCTTCTGTTTTCAGATTGTTCCTTTATAATTTATCTCTTAAAATAACTTGAAAATTTAAAAATACATGCTGCATAGTATGACAATTTGTGAGTGCATATTTATTTTCCATGACAATCTGGATAATGTAGCAAAAGTAAATAACTTAAAAAAAAAAAAAGAAATATGTAGTCTCCTTAACTGGTTTCTACTTGAGTGACATGCTGAATTAAGGGACTGACTACTGTTTTTCTGTAAAATACACTGAATTTTCTGACTTGATCCATTTGTGCTGCTGTAACAGAATACCACAGACAGAGTAATTGGCAAATTAAAGAAATTTTATTTCTCATGGTTCTGGAGGCTAGTAAGATCAAGGATGAAATGAGACATGTACTGAAGGCTTTCATGCTGCAGCATCCCATGGTAGAAGGCAGAAGGACAAAAGAGCAAGAGCAAGACAGCAAGAGGGAGAAAACTGTCTTTTATTGTTTTATTTTGTTTGGTGGTACTGGGGTTTGAGCTCAGATCTTCACTCTTAAAAGGCAGGTGCTCTACCACTTGAGCCATACCTCCGGTCCCCACACTGCCTTTTAAAACAAAACCAACTGCATACTGGTGACTCACATCTTAATCCTAGCTCTTGGGAGGCTGAGACAGGGAGGATTTTGGTTTGAGGCCAGCCTGGGCAAACAGTTCGTGAGACCCCCACCTCCAAAATAACCAGAGCAAAATGGACTGGAAGTGTGGCTCAAATGATAGAGTGCCTGCTTTGCAAGCTCAAAGCCCTGACTTCAAACTCTACACCCAACAAAATGCACATATACACACACACACAAAAAAAAATTCCTTCTCATGATAACTAGCCTGTACCATGATAATAGTATCTGTCTACTGAAAGGGCCAGTCCAATTAACCTAATCATCTCTTAGGAGATGGCCCAATCTCCCAACACTGTTGCACTGCAACAGTTTATGAAAAACATAAACTGTGGGGAACACATTCAAACCATAGCATATGCCCACAGGAAACTCAACATATGTAGCTAGTAAACTATTTTCCACCATACTTATATAAGCTGTATGTTCACTGAGAATCAGTTAATTTTCCCCCATTTGCTTATGAAAGTTGTACTGGCTGGGGGCTGGTGGCTCATGCCTGTGATCCTAGCTGCTCAGGAGGCAGAGATCAGGGAGATCAAGGTTCAAAGCCAGACATAGGCAAATAGTTTGGAGACCCTATCTCAAAAATACCCAACACAAAAACAGGGCTGGAGAAGTGAAAGAATGCCTACATGAGGTCCTGAGTTCAAAACCTGGTGCCACCAAAATAAAAAAGTGTACTTGTCACTGAAATTGTGTAATATATCTAAAATCATGGACACCACTGAAATATATTGTGCAAAATGACTTAATAAACGAAACTTAATGGGCACATGCCTGTAATCCCAGAACTTGGGAAGCTACATAGCAAGACCTTGCTTCAAAAAAAAGCAAGAACTGGGGTAGAGGCATAGCTCAAACAGTAGAATGCTGGCCTAGCAAGCACAAACCATAGTACCACAAATCATCATCATTATCATAAAGGACTTGATGATTTTATGAAAGTTAAATTAAATGTTTCAGAATGTTGCTTGAAATATACCTCATCAGGGCTGGGGATGTAGCTCAGTGGTAGAGCACTTGCCTAGCATACACAAGGCCCATGGTTCAATCATCACAAAAAAAGAAAAAAAGGTACGAGAGAAACAACTGTAAGACTGGATTAAGTCATAAAAATACAGATGACTCTTCAGTCAGATTGTAAGTGCCTTTATGTTCTTGCTTCATGTTAATATAAGTTAAAAATATAATACATATGGTTCAAGCTAGAAAGAGGACATTGAATTCTCATCAACAGACTCATATTCAAGCTGGATATAATGGCACACACCTGTAATTCTAGCTCCTTGGGAGGCAGAAATGGCAGATAAAGGTTCAAGGCCAGTTGAGCAAGACCTCATCTCAACCAAAAAGCTGGGCATGGTGGCACTCACCTGTCATTAACTACAGGGAGTCATATATACAAAGATCATGGTCCCAGGACAGTCAGGGCAAAAACATGAGCTCTTATCCAAAAAGTGACTAAAAGGATAAAAGGGCTGGGGCCATGGTTCAAGTAGTAGAACATTTGCCCAGCAAGTGTAAGGAGGCCCTGAGTTCAAACCCCACTAACTGGCACCCCCTCCCAAAAATAAGGAAGATTAATATTCAAAGAAAATCCTTAGCCCTACATTAACATTTCTAAGATGGGGATATGGCTCAGCGGTGAAGTGCTTATCTGGCATGTTCAAGGCCCTGGGTTCCTTCCCTAAGCACTACAAGAAAGATTTGCAAATAAGTAGTAACATTTTTGAATCAACATAAAATTTCTTTAAATCACTTCTTTCTTTCACTTGAAACTCCCTTGTATCATTAATGAATCCAAAAGCAAAAATCATACCCCAGTGCTGGGGGGCTCACACCTGTAATCCTAGCTACTTGGGAGGCAGAGATCAGAAGGATCAAGGTTCAAAGCCAGACAAGGCAAACAGTTCTCAAGACCCCATCTCCAAAATAACCAGAGCAAAAGAGACTGGAGACATGGCTCAAGTGGTAAAGTGCTTGCCTACCAAGCTTGAGGCTATAAATTCAAATCCAAGTAGTCAGAAAAAAAAAAAGATTTTAATTAATTTTAAGTTTAAAATAATTAGTTTATTACATAGTCTTACACATATAAATACTTACATACTTAGACACAAATACTTCACACATCAAGTCCTTACTCTGACTTAATATAGCCATCATAAAACCAAAGGTAATACCTTGGGGTGAAGGACCATGATGCTCTTGCAGCTTCTCCTGAGGCAGGAATCCCAAATAGCTGAGAACAACATACTTTGTTTCATAGTGAAATCCTAGAGGCACAGTAGTAGAGGACGCCATTGAATTGGCTGGCAGAGCTCCCAAGAGGTCTATTTATAGATGTTTAAATCTAAAACCATAAAAAAAAAAAAAAAAAAAAGAGTTTTCTTCAGTTTAAAGTTTATTACATGCTAGTATATTTTCTCACTGATTCCAATTATTCAACTAATTACCAAAATAAAGGTCTTAGATTTTTCTTTCCAGGAATCGTTAAAATGTATCATAATTTATATACAAGAGCAATTTATTCACTCAAGTTATTTCTGCTCAAAAGCAAATTTCCCTTTCTTTTTCTTTCTAGTTTCTCTATTTTCACCCATGTGGCAAATACACCAGGGACATCCCCAGTCCTTACCCCAGTGTATCTTTCTATTTTTCTTTCCTTCCTTCCCCTCTCTCCGTTCCTTTCCCTCTTGCCTACCTTCTTTTTGTTTCTTTTTTGAGACACTGTCTAACTATGTACCTGAGGCTGTCCTCTAACTTGTGATCCTCCTGCCTCTCCTTCCCACGTACTGAGATTATAGACACACACTACCATGCCTCATTTCTTTTAGCAATAAAGCCTCCTAAGTTTTTAACTAGGCCCAGGGTCACAAGGCTACAGACAGCATGTTCTGTACTATCTGGCTAGTCTGAGACAGAGGGATGAGAGTAGAAGTTGTATGTGTAATTTGTCAATCAATCCTTAAAGATGTCAGCTTTCACTCTAAGACTGTAGCAAAATACCTGCTTAGTATGTGCAACCCTGGGTTCAATCCTCAACATTTAAAAAAAAAAAAAGAAAGAAGAGAAGGGGGGATAAAGGAGGAGAATAATAGAGGGGGTAAATTCACCTATGATATATTTTAAGAACTTTTATAAATGCCATAATGTACTCCCAGTACAATAATAAAAAACTCTGAGGGGAATAAAAAAACCACGAAGATAAAATAAAGAAAAAATGTCTGGGTGCCAGTGGCTCACACTTGCAATCTTAGCTACACGAGGCAGAGATCACAAGGATTGAGGTTTGAGGCCAGCCCAGGTATCAAAAGTGATAACCCTATCTCAAAAACAGCCAACACAAAAAAAGGGCTGGCAGAGTGGCTCAAGTGGTAGAGCACATGCCTAGCAAATGTGAAGCCCTGAGTTCAAACTCCAGAGCCGGAAAAAAAAAAAAAGGAAAAAGACAAGACTTCAACTTTTCTCCTTTGGAATGTGAATTAGGCAGAGTCCTAGCTTTGACATTCAAATAAGGACAATGGTAAAGCTACCATACAGACACAACCTGGGTCCTTGAATGACCATGTAAAGCAATCATATGTCAGGCAGGAGCATTCACTAAGCAAGGTGGCTCATGGCTATAATCTCAGCTACTCAGGAGGAGGTTGGGAGGATTGAGATCTGAGGCCAGCTGGAACAAAAATAATAGGGAGACCCCATCACAGCCAATAAGCTGGGCATGGTGGTACATGGCTGGGGCCCCAGCTGAGAGGGGCAGGCAAGAGGATCTGGTCAGAGGTCACCAAGGAAAAATATTCAAGACCTATCCAAAATGTAGACAAGATCAAAAAAGGCTAGGACATGGCTCAAGCTGTAGAGCACTTGCCTAGCAATTGCTAAGACCTAAGTTCAAACCCCAGTACCACCAAGATACTTTTTTTTGGGAGGAGGGGGGTGGTGGCATAGAAAATTGAACTCAGGACCTTGAATTTGCTGGAAAATACTTTTTTTTTTTTTGACAATACTGAGGTTTAAACTCAGAATCTCATGAGGACTCCACCAGCCGTGTGTGGTGTGTGTGTGTGTGTGTGTGTGTGTGTGTGTGTGTGTGTGTGTGTGTGTGTGGACTCCACCAGCCGTGTGTGTGTGTGTGTGTGTGTGTGTGTGTGTGTGTGTAGGGTGTGTGTAGGGGTATTTTTGGGATGGGATCTTGCTTTTTGCCCAGGCACAAAGATCCTCCTAAGGCAGGCGCCAGTGGCTCACACCTGTAATCCTAGTTACTCAGGAGGTGGAGATCAGGAGGATCGTAAAACCCTTCACAAGAAAAGGGCTGGCAGAATGGCTCAGGGTTTGTAGTCCTGAGTTCAAACCCCTAATCTCTGCCTCCTGAGTAGCTAGGATTACAACAGGCACGTGTCACCAAGGCCCAGCTATAAGACACTTTTTAAAATTGAGGCACTGAAGATAGAACCCAGAGCCTTGCATATGCTAGGCAGGCACTCTACCACTGAGTATACCCTATTTCAGACATTTTGATCTGAATCTCTTCACTAGGTATAACTTGTACCCTTTCATTCATCCTGCTACACAACACCCTTTCCGGATGTCACTTTTCTATTAATGGAAGCTAGAGGATCAATTCAGCCTGAGCAACATTGCAAGGCCTTGTATCCAACACAAATCAGTTTGTATTGTTTGCAATCAGGACCTAACTGAAACAAGAGCCACAACTGGAACCTAATTTTTAGTCTGCATCAATCACAACATACTATATTCATGTGAAGATTACTAGACTAGGGACTGCCTAGTAAGGTGGAGGTACTGGGTTCAATCCCCAATACTTCCAAAAAAAAAAAAACTAGTAAATTTATAGTGTAGAAAACTCTTCTAATTCTGCAAATTAGAAGAGTGTTTATTCACACAAACATATATATAGTAGTATAATTACAGCTAGAAAAATAATTATCTTGAATTGAAATAGAAAATGCTGATAACTTACTGTGTTCATTCAACACACATTTCCTAAGGTACAAAGTCCTTCAGACACATTACTTACAAATTTATATAGTAAATCACCTGCAGTCAGGAATTTTCAAACATGTAGGGGGAAAAAAAATGTAAAGAACAACATAACATTGGCCTGAATGCCTGTAGTCCCAATTACTCGGAAGGTTGAGGCAGGAGGATAGCTTGAGTCCAGGGGTTCTAGATGAGCTGAGGCAAAATGGCAAGGCCTTATTCCCCCACACCCTGGAAAAAAAATAAATTCCAAAGTTTGGCTGGTGGAGTGGCTCAAGTGGTAGAGCACTTGCCTAGCAAGGGTAAGGCCCTGAGTTCAAACCGCAGTACCACCCAAAAAAAAGTTCCTTCTATGATAAAAGTCAGTATCCATAAGGGGGGCAGGAGGGACTTAAAGAGGAAGCAAACCCATCCTTCTGGGGAAAGGAAAAAGGAAGTAGGAATCAAGACAACCTTTACAGCAGAGCTCCAGTGGCTCACGCCTGTAATCCTAGCTAATCAGAAAGCAGAGATCAGGAGGATCAAAGTTTAAAGCCAGCCCAGGCAAATAGTTTAGGAAACCCTATCTCGAAAATACCTAACACAAAAAGGGCTAGTGGAATGACTCAAGGTATAGAACCTAAATTCAAGCTCTGGTTCCTCAGGAAAAAAAAAAAAAATGATAAGCTTTATAAAGTAAAATCTGAAGCAACCTTGGAACAGGAGGTGTTCACTAAATGAACCAACTGAGGGAAGGGACAGGGATGAACTTCAGATATAGACTAAGAAAACACATAGACGCTTTCTGCAGGAGCATGGATAATGTGAAAGTTAAGGAACTTGCCATGAGTGGAACATATGGTGTTAGAATGATTACTAACTCCTGAAAGAGTAAACAGCAGTCTGCACATCATGTATGGGATAGGACACTGGCTTAGGTTTTGCCCAATAGGCAGGCAATTATTGTAACCATGTCCATTAACTGGCATCTACAAACACCCTAAAACTATATGCAAGTCATGTTCATTAGCATTTTTTCCTGAGAGAAAATCATTTTGTTTTATTCATTAGTTACTCCAACTACATCCTAATCCAAGACAGGACAGAAACTACTGTAAAAAACCATAAGAAACTACTAAAGGGTTTTAACAAGAGAAGAATATAAACAGAATGTATTGTAGAAAGATGGTCCTGGAGGTAGTATGGGAGACAGAATGCAGAATGGAGACAAGTTAAGGGAGTATTTTAAAAAATCAAAACAAAAGATGTATGAAGGCATAATCTAGTACACAACACTGGAAACTCAAGGGGAATGGAAAAGTCAGCCTTACCATGCTTTAATGATTATCCCTAAATAATGTGAGTGATTGTGTTTATTCACTTAAGTTTAGCAAACAGTTTTTAGGCTTTAAATTTCTATGATCTTAATAGAAAATGGAAAAAAAAAAGTGTGTGTTGGAACCTTAATCCCCAAATTTACATTCAAATAGAGATAGGGCCTTTGGGAGGAAATAAGGATTAGGGTAGAGCCCCCATGATGGCATTAATGGATGCATAAAATTAGGAAGAGGGCAAGCAAGAAGCCCTGAGTTCAAACCTCACTCACACCAAAAAAAAAAAGGAAGAGAGTTAGTGAGTGACGCCCTCTGCCATGTTATAATGCAGCAACAAGGTATTCGCCAGATGTGAGTGTCATGCTCTTAGACTTCCCAGGCATTACTGAAAGGTACATAAACCTATATAATTATCCAATCTGTAGTTATCAGAGCAACAGAAAACTAAGATAAATAAGCATTTGGCACTCTCTTTATAAACATATCATATCTATAGTATAAAATATCCATCTGATTTCTAATTTAGGTTGAGCTTTCTATTGTATAAACAGCAAAGTAACTCATCCAGGCCTGTAATTAAGAAAGGGGTTAGAGAGATCCCAGGAACACTGGGCTGGCAGACTGGTTCAAGTGGTAGAGGCCCTGAGTTCAAAACCCAGTCCCTACCAAAAAAAAAAAAAAAGAGGAAGAAACGGAAAAAAAGGAAATGAGGGCGCCCCTAGCTCCCACCCTCTGCTTGTCAGAGCTCTGCATATTGGGGGTTTGGGAGGGGGGTTATGTTCCTTTCTCCTTGCTTTTAACAAAATCTTTAGGTTTTAAAAAACAGGGCAGGGAAAAGAAATGAAAAAGACAAACTGAATGAAAGGTAAATATGATCTGGGACAGCAACTCAAAGCTTTCCTAGAAGCAGGGAAAAGATTCTCAGATCTTGTTGCCCCACCAACAGGAAGTACATTTTGTATTAAAGATATTTTAAACTTTTCAACTGAGGAGAGGACGACAGGGACAATTACTTCAATTATTTTTACTGTTTACA